ACAATTATCCGAGTCGGTGAACTACGGCGCTGCCTCGACGTACTGCGGGCATCGGCGGGCGCGGGCAGGTCAGGTACGCGGCGCTGCCTCGACGTACTGCGGGCATCGGCGGGCGCGGGCAGATCAGGTACACGGCGCTGCCTCGACGTACTGCGGGCATCGGCGGGCGCGGGCAGGTCAGGTACACGGCGCTGCCTCGACGTACTGCGGGCATCGGCAGGCGCGGGCAGATCAGGTACACGGCGAGTGTGAGGCAAACAACGCAGCGATTAAGCCACCAAACCTTGCAGCTGGTCGCTTGCGTAGCAAGGATTGCTAGATTTTATGGCTAAGCGGTTTTGACTTTGACCCAGGTGCTGGTACATGTCACGAGGCGCATAAACGTATAACGTGGACCTAACTTAGCACGGACCCCGAAGCCCCGGGTGCTGGTAATGACTCAGTCGTCTCACCTGGTGCTGCTGGTAATGACTCAGTCGTCGTCACCTGGTGCTGCTGGTAATGACTCAGTCGTCGTCACCTGGTGCTGCTGGTAATGACTCAGTCGCCGTCACCTGGTGCTGTTGCTAGTGCTGACCCTGGCGGTGGCCTCGCCTGCCGAAGTGAGGACCGGAGCGCGGGGGCCCAGCCGGGTCGTGCTGCGCCGTGACGCTCCCCCCATCCACGTTACATTGGCCGGGGCCAGAGTATCTACCCTCTCGTTGGGGGAGGGGGGGGAGGGGCAGCCGGGGCGTGCTGCGCCGTGACGCTCCCCCCAGCCACGTTACATTGGTCGGGGCCAGAGTTTCTACCCTCTCGTTGGGGGAGGGGGGGGGGGGGGCAGCCGGGGTGTGCTGCGCCGTGACGCTCCCCCCAGCCACGGTACACTGGTCGGGGCCAGAGTTTCTACCCTCTCGCTGGGGGAGGGGGCAGCCGGGACGTGCTGCGCCGTGACGCTCCCCCAGTACACCGGTCGGGGCCAGAGTTTCTACCCTCTCACTCGTGAGTTTGAACCTGACGGCGGTCTGAAACTCAGACGACAGTGAGCGCCGTTATAATGCACTGGGTCTTTTCATGATTCAAGTGTAAGGTGGCATTGGGCTGCTAGTTGCAGCGAGTTCTGAGGGTCTTGCCTGCTGTCTTGCACTATGTTTGTATGTTTTTTGTGTTTTATCCCTGCATTTGCAAAAATATGGACAAACCCAGCGGAATAAAATATACCATATCATTGCTATTATATCGTAAAGCTGTTGTATCTATTCAATCAATTTTCAAGGATATTGTTTGGCTGCTCTTGGTATTGATGAAATCCTGCTGTTGCTTCACGTATGCATAAATAACGGTGATCTGTGAGCTGGACATCGCATAGTTGTTACCAAAAAGTTTGCTTTCCTTTATTGTCGGCAAATTGAAACTTCTACCGCTTTGAAAATTATAAAATCTGCATTTCAACAAGACATGAGCAGAGTGGTAGCTATTTATGCAGCAAGCTCAAAATCAATTGCCCTAACCTGCCCATGGCTATTGAATGCCTTTCAAAGGTCAGAGTAAGCTGTGACAAACGGCATATTTTGATCTCTTGGGGCACTTAGATAACCCGATGCAACATTAAAAGTGATTGCATTAGATTCCTGTGGGATAAGCAATCCGGAGACATGCATGACATGACTGACTTACCGTGTGTCATGCTGATCTCGTACGACCTCATCTTGGCAGCCCGCCTACATCTTGACTATGCACTGACTAAACAAGAATTGTAGCCGACGTTGAAGCTGCATGACGCGAGCAAAAAGGATGTGAAAATATTTTGCATCGTAGGATACATGAATACAGGTGGGGGGAGGGGTGTAAGACCTGCCGGCTTGGTGGATAAGGTCGGCGACAAATTATATATATATATATAGATATATATTATAGAATAGAGATTATATAGATAGATATATGAGAGATATATATATATAAACTGATCGCTCGACAGGTAGTAGTCTATGATAGGAATATATATATATATATATTATATATATATATATATTATTTAATATCTTCTCTCTCTTCTCTCTATCTTCTTCTCTTCTCTCTCTATCTCTCTCGCTCTCTCTCTCTCTCTCTCTCTCTCTCTCTCTCTCTCTCTCTCTCTCTCTCTCTCTCTCTCTCTCTCTCTCTCTCTTCAGGCAAATCTTGGTGCCAAAAAAGTTAATGGACAGCAAATCTTGGTGACAGCCAAGACGAAAAATACAGTACACTATGCAAAACATAACATAATGTCTCCATGTGTATGTTATGCCTCCATGGTAATACATTTCGTCACACACCAGCAAACATTTCCATAAATCTCTTCACCGTACTCTGCGGCACAATGACATTTTTTCTACATTTTATTCCAATCCGGCGACAAAAACACCCTGCGATTTTTAGTTTGTCGGCGGACTCCGTGACAGGTCGGCGACAAATCAATGTATCTGCTATGGGCTGGCCGGTCGGCCAATTGGCCATTCTTAACAGCTGGCCCTCAGTGTCATGAACTAGACAGCATAAAATACTGAAAGAGATCTAGATACAGATATTTATCTGGCCGCGAGAGCATGTTTCAATCGTTGCGATGCGACCGATATGAGGTGGGCGGTGACTTCAATGCACTGCGATTGTGCAAGTTGTGACTGCATTGTAGTGTCATGAATGCCTGCCTAGGGTCTAATTTTCGACGTTACTTATTTCGTTAGCGGTGTTGCGATTCAGCATCGAGACGAGAGGCGTTAACAGTTCGGGGAAACTCGCTGGGATGATCCGATCAAGGTAAAAATGGACCTGTGATTATCCCAACCGCCTTTTGACGTCACCGAAAAGGCTGTTGACTCACTGAAGCGTTTACAAGCGATTAGCCTTCTTCCCTTTGAAAAGAATCGTGGGTTTAATGCTTAAGTCTGACTGCATCCCGCATGAAAGGAACAACCGAAAGTGATAATGGCTCTAAAATGCCAATGCATGCCACTTTTGTTCTTGTCCTGATTGAGAATAGTTACCAGTCACACAGACTTCAAATCAGGGGTGTTCCGACATTTAATTTAGTTCGGGGCTCCATCCCCCCCCCCCCGATGGGTTTGCTAAGAAGTGTGCTAATCTGAGAGACATCCGGGGCGTTGTTAGACATCCGGCGTTGGAGGTACATTGAATGCTTTTTCACTGCTCACAAACGTATCTTCAAAAACTGTATCCTGCTTGAAATGCAATGATTTTATCCATGTTTTCGTAGCATTTTAACAGTTATGTACAGTTCAACCTTTTGCTGACGTGAATCTTGGTTGTTGGAAGTCTATATAATAGGCAATGATGTAGGTCATGGGAAGGCGATAAAAGTGAGGTGTGGGGTGGGGTGGCGAATGTTGGCAATGAGAGGGGCGGGGTGCAGGTTTCATTCCCATCTTCCCTTCACCAAGAGTTTTCCTTCAAATAGCATGGTGATTTATGGTATTGTGGTCCAACTGTCCTATGAGATCAGTGAAAGATTGGTATTTGGTTGTATTTGAGGACAATATTGGCGGTTTCCTGGTGATATCAACCCTACAGTAACAGGAGAGCTCTGGAAGCCGTTCATTCTGCAGTGCTCATTCATATACATATTTGATTTGCACTTGTGAGCACAGCATTGCATGGATGCAAATATGGTACGTTTGATTACCGTTTTTGCTAACATTAAATTGTCAAATTGTCCTACGGAACCATTAGCATTACCGCTGTTTACATTTACATGCAGGCTGTGAGGCAGGCAGACTATATTATATGCAGCCTGCAATGAGAGCAGAAATTGAAATAGTTTGTGTGATGGTGGCATAATGACAGGAGTGCCAATTTTTATGCATGGTCAGGAGGAGGGAGCAACCCATGGATCATGGTCAATAAATAAAGTTCAGAGAAGATGGTTTTGCGGCGATTGGAACCAGGGCCTGGCATTAACAGGCAAAGGAGCTAAATAATGTGAGTCAGCTCTGGCTCAGCCATACGTACTTTAAGCATGGGTTACTAAGAAGCAAGCAAGCTGCTTGGTTTCTTAAAGTGACCATACATACATAATACCAGAAAACCATCCAAATATCTCAGGTCACCATCAAAGCTCAGCAATTTTTTTTTGCACATGCCCAGCCCACCTGTAGACCAAAGTTAGTCCACGTTGATACTGCTTTATCATGCACATAATGCATCTATATCTGCCTGAGCTTTGTGCTCAGGCTTCTGGAAAAGCTATATTATTGTTACAGAGTCAGGGCACGCTGTTAATTTGACTTGCCTGTGATGTGCTGATCTGCTTTTTTAGAGCAAAGTATTTGAGTTGTGCAGGGTGACCTTTTTAGGCCAATCTTTCCAAGGTCCCAAGACTGTCAGAGTACTCCATAATCTGACCCCGGGCGTCTAGTGTTGGTAAAATAACTTGTGTGAACTATGAGACATGGTATTAAGTATTCATGGCATGCTGGTATTTTTGTTGTTCGCCAGAGAACTTATGGGAACCTGGGGCTGGTATTGACAAGAAAAGGGAAGCCAGGCGCTGAAGCCAGTGCCTACAAAATAACTAACGGGAACCAAGATCCAGGGTTTTGTTTTGTCGAAAGAACCAGTGAGAACCAGGATCCAGTATCTTGTTTTATTGAAAGATCCAGTGGGAACCAAGATCCAGGGTCTTGTTTTGTAGGAGACCCATTGGTAACCAGCATCCAGGGTCTTGGTGTTGTCAAAAGATCCAGTGAGGACCAAGATCCACGGTTTTGTTTGTCGAAAGATTCAGTGGGAACCAGGATCCAGAGTCTTGTGTTGTTGAAAGAACCAGTGGGATCCAGGATCCAACGTCTTTTTGGACGAAAGAACCAGTAAGAACCAGGATCCAGAGTCTTGTTTCGTCGAAAGAACCAGTGGGAACCAGGAACCAATATTAGGAACTGGGCACATGTCTGTTAACCAGCCGTGGTGCTGTCCCGGCGCGTTCGCTAGTGGTGTTGAGATGAGCTGGCAGACGTAACCTTGTGCTGCAGTTTCGACGCCATCCTCTACTACTACCAGAGCGGCGGCAGACTGCGGAGGCCGGTCAACGTGCCACTGGACGTATTCTCAGAGGAAATCAAGTTCTACGAACTTGGAGAATATGCAATCGGGAAGTTCAGGCAAGTAAATTTCGTCTGAGTGTCATTCTATTAATGTTAAAAATGACGCCACGTGGAAATATTCCGCAGTATAATCATGCATACGCGGAGGCTTACACAAAACGGCTTTCGTTTATGGTTCTCATTCGTGGTCGGAATATTGAAATTGATGCTGTGGAAATTTCATTAAATGTAGCCAATAATCTTGTAATTTGGTTTGTTGTGAATTTAAATTAAAAGTTACCCTGGCACTTCCTTAAAATTAAGGGCAACTTAGGGCGGTTATCTGTGGCTTTTAGTGCTATTTTGAAGTAAGCAAGAGGCAACGATATGTAAAGAAGGTAACAAACCAAAAGTGTAAGTACATAAGGATGGAAAAATTGCGAGTGACATCTTCCACTAAATTTAGGTCGTGGACTGTCCTAGCTAGCTAGGCTTGATGGAGCATGGCCTAGTTAAGACTGTACTAAGTTACTCCAAAGGTGTGAATTTCTGACTTCTACCATACGCTGCGCGTAAGCCGCGGTCACTTGTTCGGTGGTGACGGTGACAGGCTTGGTGGCTAGAGTGCGGAAGAAAATATGCTCAAATAACAGGGAATATAGCACGATTAAGGTTAGTTTGCGGATTTGGCGCGCGTGGAAAGCTTAACTCGATGCTTCACACGTATTTTCATCATGCAATATTGCCTCGCCGTTGAATTTGGGCTCGTCATTCAGCACGTAATCCAAAGGAGACACACCACATCTCTCCCGCAAATCGACATCGTGAGAGTTTAAAAAGCGCTCCAAATTGTGAAAGCACCGCTGTGCTGTCGGACGAAACTCATCAAACAACATCTACTTATGCATGTGCTTTCGGTATTCACTCAGTCCATGTCTCGACATTTTGCATGTGTTCACCGTGTAACAGTATTTGCAGTGTACATAATCATTGGGTGGCTCCGTGAGGGAAAGCTTGGAATATATATTGCGGGAAAGACATTGGTGAAGTTGTAGGGGCTGTGCCCTCAATGAGGTATTCGACCACTTCATGTTACACGTATAGAGTGTTACTCATGTTGAATACTCAGTTATATCAGAACTTGTCCACATGTTTCTGTCAGCTGCAGACTTTTGAACGGAAGTTAGAAAACCGTTGCAAATTGTTGAGTTGCAAATTGGAAAACCGATTCCCTCTTCTTGTAAGGAAAACAAAGCGCATGTTGCCCTCTTCCACGTCGACTTTTAAAACAGGTGCGTTTTGTCACTTCTGTGTAAAAAGCGTATCGATAGCATTAAAGGTTTTTGAAGAAAACAAATATCAAGAATTTGCCTCCCGCTCCACCATGGGGCATAGCACGTAACAGCTTGTTATAAGGAGAATGTTTCACAGTCTAAGACATTGAAGCAATCATCAGATATGATAAAACAAGCTCACTTATAGCTATTGGTATGCTCTGTAAGTGGAAAAGCTGCTCTAGAGAGCACAACTCTCTGTTTAGCAAACATGCCCCGTAATGCGTTATAGTTTGATTACGTCATTGCACCTTGCGCAACATTGGTTGAGAGCCAATTGACGGTCGTTATGTATGGAAATCGCGCTCACGAACACCAAGTATAAACGTTTCGACAATCATTTTCTATGGCGCTGGTCGCCACACGGCTTATGGAATGGCAAGATTTGAACGACGTTATTATGACGTCATGAATGCCAAGATGACTTTGAAATGCTCTCCCCGATATACCTTTCCCCTTATTCGCGGGCGCGTGGCTCAGAAACTAAAGGAGCTTATGTCTTAAAAAGGGCAGGATTGTTAACAGCAGCAAAAGGTCTTCAAGACGGCTATTTCAGTTCAAAACACCATACAAATGTGGAACGTTCCACTTGAGATTGGGTGCTGAAAGCATTGCGAGTAGAACGCTTATCATTTTGAACAATTCTTAAAATGGTATGCGGGTGGATGCAGGCCACCTCGCCCCCACTCCCTGTGTCAGCGCAGGGGAAAAGTTCATGTTGCCATGAACGAACACCGGATTTTTTCAAGAGTAAAAGAAGATCATCCTCGTCTATGGATGTCATCTGCCTCCCTCACCTTTTCGGCGTTGCATGCCATGTGAAGGTCATCCGAATGAATGTATGGGTTGTCGTCTTCATTTCCTGTTCAACGGAGCTCGTAGCTGCGCACGGTGCGCTTGCGTGCGACTGCTTGCGGTGCCTCGGGTTAAACCCTTGTTACCCGTCTGCCTCGCCCGGCTACCTGACCGGTGTTAAGCCGTGCTCCTGGGTTCAAACCTGGCTACCTGGCCGGTGTTAGGCCACGCTCCTGGGTTCAAACCTGGCTACCTGGCTGGTGTTAAGCCGTGCTCCTGGGTTCAAACCTGGCTACCTGGCCGGTGTTAAGCCGTGCTCCTGAGTTCAAACCTGGCTACCTGGCCGGTGTTAGGCCGCGCTCCTGGGTTCAAACCTGGCTACCTGGCCGGTGTTAAGCCGTGCTCCTGGGTTCAAACATGGCTGCCTGGCCGCTGGGGCAATGCAAGACAGAACAGCCTCCTCAAAATGATACAGTGTGCACCACTATGTCAAATAAAAATGTAGAAAAGAGGTTCATAGGATAGTCTCCGGCCCTAAACACAGCTATGTAATTTCTGGATGCCCCATAGCAGCTTCCTATGTGTTACAGCCTCTGACATTTTCGAAAACGCACATCCATGCCTGTTTGTGGCGGTCGATAGCGTGAAGCCAAATGATCCGACATGTCGCTTTATGCACCATGGTGCACGGAAATTTTTGGCAAGTGTAAATGTTTCATTTTCTGACTTTTTCATATCTTGGACCCATTGCCTTGTCTTACATGACGACGTATGACCATTTGGCATATCGAAAGTTGTACTTTGTATGCCAACACCTATTGTTTTTTGCGATGCATGACGCTAGCAAAAAATCCTGATAATAACTTGTCCCTGTTATGCCGGAGCAATGATTTAAACTGAAAGAAGCGCTGGTTATTGTTTCTGCAGCACCGCCAAGACATAATAAGGATAACAATTTGGTTTATTTTCGAGTCCAAACTACATTGTAATTGTGCTAACTAGCTGCCTTTGTAACAACGCTAAGCCTCCTCCCTGCAGTCGCGACCACCGTCGTCATGACAATTGCCGTGCGCACCTCTACTGGTGCAAAGAAAAGAACGTTTGTGATTGGCCCAGGGGCAAGAACCTATTACCAAAAATTTGGTAGGTTGAAGTTTGAATCTGTGCGTCACATGGATTTTCTGATGTTCCCATTGTCATAGCCAAAGTGCGCCTCGAAAATACCTGCGGTAAACGCCACAGAGTAGAAATCAAAGCCTTAGTATAAGGTTTCGTTGAAATTGCGGGGTAATAGTTTCTCTATGTTCGCCTCTTTTTTTTGTTTACACGGAGTGTTTCCAGGCTTCGTAGCAAGCATTACACAAACATTTTGACACATTAGTTGGTTGCAAACATTATAGTGCACACACGCTGCAAAAGGCAAAACAAATGAAATGCGCTACTTCGAAAGTGATGGTAAGAGGACCACTGAGGTTTCTCCCAAAGGGTCGGCTACTCTAAATAGAAAATCTGGGCTTTTCAGAAGTGTTTCGAGAAAACTGATATTACTGATAACCTCGTACGCTTCTGATGCAACATTTAGTGAAAAGTGCAAAAAGGTGTGATACTCGCCCTAAAAGAACGTTTGTGATCCGAGATAAAAGTTATCGTCATATCGAGCATAAACGCACATGACGTGTAATTTTGTTGATTTGCACCTGTTGTCACTATTTCAGTATAATGCACACAATGAGAGCGTCTCTTTAATAGAGAACTTGGCACAATTGCCCCCTGGTTCCTGCTGCGTCTGTTGGCAAGAAAGCAACGTCACTATCGCGCACGTCGTGCTGAATCGGCTCACACCAGAAATGAGTGCCGTGGAGTCTAACTTGGGTCGATAAGTCATTTTACGCACGGCTGTACAGTCCAATATAAAATGAGTTCTCTGCGTCAATGTGGTGCTGGCTCCAGGAAGCTAAAGGCATCATCTAGACGGGTAAATCCAGACGACCAAAAATATGTTTCAGTATGTTTCAGTATGTGTTTGGCAGTCTCATCAGCCGCGAATCATTCATGTTTGTGTCTCAACATTGAGGGGCAGTTCGGTCACCGCCGATTTCCTCCGTGTAACTAGCAAGCACATATATATATATATATATATATATATATATATATCGTTCTAGTTTCCGGGCCTTTGACTTTGCGTCATCGCTTAGATTAAAGATGGTTCGCACAAAATTACTCATATATTCATCACTCCTTCCATTCTAACGTTTCGAGATCTTATCTCATCTTTGGAGAAGACTAAATTGCACAAGAAATAAGTTTTGAGTTTTAAAGGATGAAAACTTGTGCACTACTGTTGGAAAACATCTTTTGGTACGGAGAACATAAATGAAGCATAACTAATTGAAGTAAGACGGATTGCTATTTTCATCTTCATACATGTAAGAAACACTCATAATGGGAACATCACAAAGACACAATGGGAACACTATTGTCACAATCACATCAGAAGTGCTCACCGCCCACCACCTAGTTACTCAAGAGTTCTGCAAGAATTTGTCTGTCTGTTTAAGGCCAGAGAGAGTTCGTTAATGAATATGCTTTCCCAAATTTGAAGGCGTCTTCTGTCACTGCACGTCCGTAAAATGTCAGCGCTGTCTGTCAGTTGTTGTCGTGTCAATGTCATGTCGTGTTCCTGTCGCATGTGGTCCAGAGGTGCCCCGTCACGTAAGTGCATTGTCAGGCGTCGTTAGAGTGTCGTTGTGGTCACACCAATGTAGTGTATGGGACGAAGTTTGCAGCCTTCGATGTTGCATTGGAATTGATACACTACATTGGTGCATTTCAGTTTGTCGGGTTTGTCTGGGCTGTTTCTCATAAGAAAGTTCGATATTTTCTTATTACAATAGTAAATGACAATGTCTATTTTGTGGTCGTTTTTGCCTTTAACATGTTGAGAGATAATTTCCCGTAAAGCTTTTTCGTCCTGTTTGTGAGCAGATGTCATTTGAATTTGATACTATCAAAATCAGATGACATCTGCTCACAAACAGGACGAAAAAGGTTTACGGGAAATTATCTCTCAACATGTTAAAGGCAAAAACGACCACAAAATAGACATTGTCATTTACTATTGTAATAAGAAAATATCGAACTTTCTTATGAGAAACAGCCCAGACAAACCCGACAAACTGAAATGCACCAATGTAGTGTATCAATTCCAATGCAACATCGAAGGCTGCAAACTTCGTCCCATACACTACATTGGTGTGACCACAACGACACTCTAACGACGCCTGACAATGCACTTACGTGACGGGGCACCTCTGGACCACATGCGACAGGAACACGACACGACATTGACACGACAACAACTGACAGACAGCACTGACATTTTACGGACGTGCAGTGACAGAAGACGCCTTCAAATTTGGGAAAGCATATCCATTAACGAACTCTCTCCGGCCTTAAACAGACAGACAAATTCTTGCAGAACTCTTGAGTAACTAGGTGGTGGGCGGTGAGCACTTCTGATGTGATTGTGACAATATATATATTTATATATATATATATATATATATATATATATATATATATATATATATATATACTTATAAGAGATCAAGTACGGTTGTAAGGTTTACCTTGGCTTTCCGTGAAACTGCTTTATACTATTTAATGTGACGGCCCTATCGAACAAACTACTGGACTACGGGGCGAACAGCTTGTTTGCTGTTAAGCCACCTTTTCTTGTGGCCGTGCAAAAGCTTCAAAACATGGACGACTTTTCTGTGGAAAGAACTGGAACATGGCCTCGTCTGCGTCAGGTTTTGCCGTAGGAGACCGTCCGTTTTCGACTCTTCTTGTACGTGGCACGCTTTTCGGTGCCAGCGTTGTCAGCACGCGCGCACCAATCGGCGCAGAAACTGCTCTGTCGCGGTACATCCTCGTGTCAATAGAATGAGGCCTGGGACAACGGTAGTGATAAGATCAGCTGCGAACAGTAACGGTGGTGATGAGATCAGCTGCGAACAGTAGGTCAGCGACGAGACCTGGGACAACGGTGGTGATGAGATCAGCCGTGAACAATAGGTCAGTACTGACAGATGCGCGCCGAGAGGCGCTGCACAGAACCCACAAGCTTGTCGCACACTATTAAGCCGGCAAGTAGTGTGTATACGCAAGCATCATTATCTGGTCCGGTGCCGTCTGCTGACCGCATCTGGATACTTACACGAAGCTCAGTAGCGAACGGAGGTACCGTTCCTATGATCACCTATGACGAAGAACAGCTCGGACGCGAACGAAGGTACCGTTCCTATGGTCACCTGTGACGAAGAACAGCTCGGAAGCGAACGGAGGTACCGTTCCTATGATCACCTGTGACGAAGAACAGCTCGGAAGCGAACGAAGGTACCGTTCCTATGGTCACCTGTGACGAAGAACAGCTCGGTAGCGAACGAAGGTACCGTTCCTATGGTCACCTGTGACGAAGGACAGCTCGGAAGCGAACGAAGGTACCGTTCCTATGGTCACCTGTGACGAAGAACAGCTCGGACGCGAACGAAGGTACCGTTCCTATGGTCACCTGTGACGAAGGACAGCTCGGAAGCGAACGAAGGTACCGTTCCTATGGTCACCTGTGACGAGGAACAGCTCGGAAGCGAACGAAGGTACCGTTCCTATGGTCACCTGTGACGAAGAACAGCTCGGACGCGAACAAAGGTACCGTTCCTATGGTCACCTGTGACGAAGAACAGCTCGGAAGCGAATGAAGGTACCGTTCCCATGGTCACCTGTGACGAAGAACATTCCTGGGAAAAACCCACCTTTGATGTATGTGCCGTAATGTAACGCTAACACTTGCCGGGGGCTAGGCGTTGAAAGTTCTTATGTTAAGTTAACGACCTCCGATATATCAGGAGGCACTGCTGTAACTGCTTCCGTAATTGGGCTTTTGCCTGTGGACCTCTTATGTCTAAAGAAATAAACAAATAAACAAACAACGTTGCAATGTTAAATAACGAATGCATTGACGGTGGACTATATTTGTGTGCTGCACAGCTGAGTTTATTCTCAAGAGCGACAAGGGCTCAGGAAGATTCAACAAAATATCACACTAAAAAATTAGGCATGTGAATTCGAGGAATTCCCCCGACCTACGCAGACACTGCTCTTAAATGTACCAATGCAGGTCGATGATACGGCTCCCAACTCTCCGAGTACTATTCAATGTACATGAATAAGCTTGGATGAAATGAACTTCGGAAAGAGGTTGTGTTGTCTGTAATTGTATAAGATCGCATTATTGTCTTCAACACGTCCCAATTTGCGGTGAAAACTTGCAAAATTAAGGTATTTCTTTCTTGTGTCAAGTACAGCTTACTGGGGCTTGAGATAATACCACAAATTTCAGTATCTAAATGTCTGGGTGGGTAACGCAAGAAAAGGTTATGAAATCGCGAGGTAACAAATAACGCCTGGGGAATCTGAATGTGCTAAAAGGTCCGTTGCATTCCGGTGAGTTCACCGATATGACTCAGGCACCGACCCGGGTCACCTGACTTAAAGTTAATGACCGCTAAAGGTGGGTCGGCCTGCAGCGTGACCCATTCAAAATGTCAGAGGTCATAACTTGTAAACTACCTAAACAGCCTAGGATCTTCACCCGGGTTAAAGCTCCTGTATTAGACCCCCTCCGGTTAGCTCAATTGACGGAGCACTGGGTAGCAAGCAGATAACCTTGCCTCGAATACCAGGGATTCCAAGGACATAATTCAGTTAGGGATCCGTATATGACTGAAAGCCAAACATCATCCGGCCCTTCTCAGCGCTGAATAACACCTGACAACAGCTGGAAAGCGTACTGGCCTAAACGTTGTGTAACGACACACCAAACGAGGACAATAGTGCGAACAATTATTCCATCCGCGGCAGTAAGGCCCGGTCTAAATCCTTCCGCAAAACCATCTTATCCCGCTCAGGGCTCAATACCACCCAGCAAAGACCGGATAATTAACTTGCTGAAGCATTGTGTACATGGATGGCCTCCTCGTGTTTCGCCGTGCCTGCTGAGTTTGAGCATGACTACCTGACCATTGTTAAGCTATCTCCCCGCTGGTCTCAACCCTGGCCTCCTAATCGGTATGGGACTGTCCCTCGCTGGGTTTGAGACTGGCTACTTGGCCGCTGTTTAGCCGTTCCCCGTTGCAATCGGTAGGAGACATTGCGACACGTATGACCATAGGCGTTACATGCGCAATGCAATAAGCACGGTTATGAGCGCTGTGATTCGCAATGCCGACTCCCACCTGCGTTTGCCTTCAGGGAGGATGAGGGCTTTATCAAGGAGGAGGAGCGGCCGCTGCCCAACAACAAGTACCAACGCAAGGTGTGGCTGTTATTCGAGTACCCCGAGAGCTCGCAGAACGCGCGCGTGGTGGCCATCATCTCAGTTACAGTCATCCTCCTCTCCATCGTCATCTTCTGCTTGGAAACATTGCCCGAGTTCAAGCACTACAAGGTGTATCGGGCGGCGGACAACTACACTATTGTGGAAGAAGACGAGGTGCCGGCGATGACGGACCCGTTCTTTCTTATCGAAACAATATGCATCGTCTGGTTCTCGTTCGAACTGCTAGTGCGCTTCGCGGCCTGTCCGAACAAGGTCAGCTTCTGTCGTGACGTCATGAACGTCATCGACGTGGTCGCCATCATTCCGTACTTTCTGACGCTGGCCACGGTGGTGGCTGAGGACGAACAGGCGGTGCCCACGCCCAAACCCACGGCGCCAGGAGCCGAGACGGGCTCCAACCAGGCCATGTCGCTGGCCATACTCCGAGTGATACGGCTGGTGCGCGTGTTTCGAATATTCAAGCTCTCCAGACACTCGAAGGGCCTGCAGATCCTCGGCCGAACCCTGAAGGCCTCCATGCGAGAGTTGGGCCTGCTCATTTTCTTCTTGTTTATAGGTGAGTGGCGTCGGTGAACCTTGCTCTGTTGATGCATACCCCTTACGTCATACGAATGTACTTTGCTTGCTAGCACTTGCTTCAGTGGTTGCTTTAAGTGCTCTGGTCATTCATCACCTAAGCGTCAGATTTCTTCATTTCATATGCGAATCAAGCCGCCTTGTTGGTGCTTTGTTGGTGGTAAAGGCGGTCAAGCGTTTGAAAGAAAACAACATTTTCTGGCAGCGTCCAGACAGCAGTGTGTCGCCCACGCAGGATCAACGGTGTGCCCGCGTGGTATTGTCAGCAGTGTGACGGTGGGGCACTGTCAGCAGTGTGCCCCCGGGTAGTGTCAGCTGTGTGCCCGCGTGATAATGTCAGCAGTGTGACGGTGGGGCACTGTCAGCAGTGTGCCCCCGGGTAGTGTCAGCTGTGTGCCCGCGTGGTAATGTCAGCGGTGTGACGGTGGGGCACTGTCAGCAGTGTGCCCCCGGGTAGTGTCAGCTATGTGCCCGCGTGGTAATGTCAGCGTTGTGACCGTGGGGCACTGTCAGCAGTGTGCCCCCGGGTAGTGTCAGCTGTGTGCCCGCGTGGTAATGCCAGCGGTGTGACCGTGGGGCACTGTCAGCAGTGTGCCTCCGGGTAGTGTCAGCTGTGTGCCCGCGTGGTAATGTCAGCAGTGTGACCGTGGGACACTGTCAGCAGTGTGCCCCCGGGTAGTGTCAGCTATGTGCCCGCGTGGTAATGTCAGCAGTGACCATGGGGCACTGTCAGCAGTGTGCCCCCGGGTAGTGTCAGCTATGTGCCCGCGTGGTAATGTCAGCAGTGTGACCATGGGGCACTGTCAGCAGTGTGCCCCCGGGTAGTGTCAGCTATGTGCCCGCGTGGTAATGTCAGCAGTGTGACCATGGGGCACTGTCAGCAGTGTGCCCCCGGGTAGTGTCAGCTGTGTGCCCAAGGTAGTGTCGGCGATGTGCCCCCGAGTAGTGTCAGCTGTGTGCTGGTGGGCACGGTTGGGGTGTGCTCCCCGGGAGGTATCAGCAGTGTGCTGGTGGGCACGGTAGGGGTGTGCTTCCCGGGAGGTATCAGCAGTATGCTGTTGGGCACGGTTAGGGCGTGTTCCCGAAAGATGTCAGCAGTGTGCTGGTGGGCACGGTTGAGGTGTGATCCCGGAAGGTGTCAGCAGTGTCTCTGGCCATTCCCGTGTAAGCGGCGCCGGCGGCGCCGATACAGAGTCACTGCACTAGCACGGCTCCACGGCTACCCTGCCACTGGCGTCGCTCCTCTCCACCCCGTCACTGGCGTCGCCCCCCCCCCCCCCTGCACCCTGCCACTGGCGTTCGCTCCTCCCCACCCTGCCACTTGCGTCGCCCCCTCTCCACCCTGCCACTGGCGTCGCTCCTCTCCACCCTGTCACTGGCGTCGCTCCTCTCCACCCTGTCACTGGCGTCGCTCCTCTCCACCCTGTCACTGGCGTCGCTCCTCTCCACCCTGAGAGTGCCGATGGCCTTCTCCGCCTTGTCACTGGCGGCGCCCTCTCTACCCTGTCACTGGCTGCGCTCTCTCCACCCTGCCACTGGCAGCGCCCCTCTCCACCCTGACAGTGTCAGCGCCCCTCTCCACCCTGTCACTGGCCGCGCTCTCTCCGCCCTGTCACTGGCGTCGCTCCCCTCCACCTTGTCACTGGCGTCGCCCCCTCTCCACCCTGCCACTGGCGTCACTCCTTTCCACCCTGTCACTGGTGTCGCTCCTCTCCACCCTGTCACTGGCGTCGCCCCCCTCTCCACCCTGTCACTGGCGTCGCCCCCTCTCCACCCTGCCACTGGCGTCGCTCCTCTCCACCCTGTCAGTGGCGTCGCTCCTCTCCACCCTGTCGGTGGCGTCGCCCCCTCTCCACCCTGTCACTGGCGTCGCTCCTCTCCACCCTGCCACTGACGTCGCTCCTCTCCACCCTGTCACTGGCGTCGCTCCTCTCCACCCTGTTACTGGTGTCGCCCCCTCTCCACCATGTCACTGGCGTCGCTCCTTTCCAACCTGAGGGTGTCAGCGCCCCTCTCTGCCCCGTCATTGGCGTTGCCCCCTTTCCACCCTGTTATGTGCATCGCCCCCTCTCCACCCTGAGAGTGCCCATGGCCTTCTCCGCCTTGTCACTGGCGGCGCCCTCTCTACCCTGTCACTGGCTGCGCTCTCTCCGCCCTGCCACTGGCAGCGCCCCTCTCCACCCTGACAGTGTCAGCGCCCCTCTCCACTCCTTCATTGGCAGCGCCCTCTCCACCCTGTCACTGGCAGCGCCCCTCTCCACCCCTCTCAGTGTGGGCGCTCACAGTACCGACAGTGCCTAACAGGGGGTCCAGCGCGGCTGCATGTTGGCAGACGGCTCGGGGTCGGCTGAGGGTAGCGCTGGATGGGGCCCAGAGAAGGGCCGGAGATGCCCACATAACCGATGATCAAGGGTTGGGTTTGACGACTTGAGGACCCGAAGTGCCGGCTGTAGGTCACCTTAAGCGCCCCGGCCGGTAGGCTCGGATCTTATTGAAACTTACTCCCAGTAAGAGGGCCTCTTGCACCGATGGGGAGCCTTCTGGAATAATTTGGGCCTCTATTTTAACCAGAGACCACAGTCGGCTGCATGCCACTCTCAGCCCCGTGGGTCTGTTTTCCGGAGGTTCGCTAACGTAGTCTTTAGATGCTGTGACAATTAAAGAGCATCCTGCAGCGATACGGGATTTTTATACGTCCATGAAGGTTTGCGCGTCAATCCAGGGCCAACTGTCCGCTCCATAGGGCCTCCCACGTCAGGGAGCAGACCAATGTATGATTTATGCCTTCAAGGAACTAAGGTATGGTGCATGCCCAGTGTCAACGGAGTGGCGGCCGGAAAACGATGGGCACTCTTCCTTGGAGCGGAACGGCTGTTCAACCCCTGACCGGGAACGATAAGCTGCCCCCTAGTGTTCTAACCATGCGGCCCCTTGCCAGGAAAAAGTCACGAGTCTCTGTAGTGGTCAATAGGGTGGAACGAAATAAGGCCAAAATGAAAAAAGAACTAGCCCATGTTTGCCTAGTGGTTTCCATCCTTCTCAGAATGGACTAGTGAAACAAGTTACATAAAAGGTTTTGAGGTTGAGCGCTCGTAATACTAGGAGCAAGACATCGATGACCTTGGTTGCAGTTTTCGTCGAACCGAACGGACTTGGCTGCCTCAAATAATGTCAATTGGCATGCGGCGCGCGAGAATGACCGTCCGGAAACAATATTTCAGCAAATCTTTGAAATAGATTCGTACCGCTCAAAGATGAGGCTGGGACGTGCAGTTTTTTTTTGGAACTTTAGATATATCAATTGTAAAGATTTATAGTCAAGGCAACACGAGCAAAAGAGATCCCTCCTTTACTTTTCCAGTTGCACCATCAGGCTCCAGCACCAGTTTACGGTGTTGTGAATGTTTCTATTATTGATCTAAAAATATTTGAAGTGAAATACGCCTGCACTACCTGTTAAACGTACGAATTCAAGTCCTAAAGCTTTCAAGGCTAGTTTTTTGGGGACGTTATTATTTTCCTCCGAACGTCGGTCCTAGCCGCTGCGGTGAGCTGGAATTGCTTTTGAACTAGGGTGGGAGTGAGAAATCCCAGGATCAAAAGACCGTACAGGAGTGAAAAAATCAATTTACAACTGTTGGAACTTATGAGTCAGTGAGAGATGCTCCAGAAAACAAAGGCTTGCATTTTAAAGTTGGCATGGATGCAATATCAGGAACATGACAAAAATGATTGTTACCATCCTAGGTGATTACAGTGGAACAGAATACCGCAAAAGAGAATTAATTTCATAATAGTGCAGTAAGCATCAAATAGGATATAACAACAATGTTTGGCGTTGCACTTTGCACTTCCTTCTCACAGTATTTATTGGCATAAAACAAAGCAAAACATTCAACAACAAAAGCAAATACCAAAAATTCAACAAGCGTAAAACATTCAAACAAGAAGGCCATGGACTCCTGTACATCGGCACACCACAAAATCAAATACGACAGCCATACCCCTGGCTGCTGTTAAGATGGGGTCAGGAAATATAAATATCGTGTCATTGTTTCTTGCAAAATACCACTGCTTCTTTCCGGAAAAATAGCCTAAGCTTGACCTAAAGAAGCCTTATCTTATCTCATCCTGTCAAACCTATATGTATCACAGCAGGATTTGTGGGTCACCGATTCTGGCAAAAATTATCCTGCACCTTGTCATGCAATTGCCCAACTTAGCCTAACTTATCGTAGTTTACATGATGAACATTAACTCAACTCACCCCACCTATTTTTTAACAGCAGCACTTGTGACAAAACATGACAAAGCTTATTTTTGGCTGGTGTATGGTTAGCCTCTTTCAAGGGCAATAATGAGAATGCTCCACAAAACAATTTCTCTCCTCCAAGCATAACTTGTAGATGGTCGCAAAACCAGTTTTGCTGCTTGCTTTTCAGCTGCAACAAAGACATCCATCTAGGTTGGCTTTTTCATATGTAATGACCTAAAGTTTGATACATTTTTTTTTTCTGGTCAAGTTTCTTCGGCTTAAGGGAATACGTGGAGTAAAATTCTGTACTAGGCTTTGCTGGTGTTTGTATCAGGATTGGCTTTGCTGTGGTGTTTGCGTGGTGTGACCCAAAAAAAGGGATTCGTGAAAACCTTGCACTTGGCACACAGCTAAAGATTGTAATGCATGTTGTAAACAAACCAAGCTTTCTACATGTAAGCGGCTGGAGTCACTCAGGTTCTCGGGCTTTAAGGTACCTGGTACCCATGCTCTGTGCATACATAAACGTGATTGAGATGTAGGTGAGGCAGGATAAAGCCATGGGTATCCAGGTTCTGTGCAGCCTGATCTATGCTTGATGGTTTCAAGTGAGCTCGATTTTGGATGACACCTTAAAACCTCTTAAAGGGAAATATTTGGGTTTGGTACGTGTGATTGGATAATATCAGAAAGGAGTGAATGAAATATTCAGATCAAATATGGGGAAAGGAGTGAAAATCCCTCGTCACATGGTGTTGCTTTACACCCAAAATCGGCAATTCTAGGACACTGAGCCGCCGGTACCACGCGGCCTACGGAGGGTGCAACGCCGTGCATCTGGGTTTTTGTGTCAAAGATTTGTGTACGTGCATGTACAAAACTGAGTTATATAATGGTTTTGAGGACTCGATTCTGAATGAGGCTCGATCGTGCTCAGACAAAATTGGTTCGTCATGTTGATACAAGCTTTTTACCCCATTTTTGTATAAGTATGCTTTCAAGGGGTCCTTAATATCACTGTAGAACGCAGAAAACTGCTGGCAGAGTTCTAAGTGCTATCGACTGGGAAATGGCCAGCTGAATCATTGTTAAATTAATAGCGCCGGCGGTTTATTCCGTGCATTGTTTTAGCGTTCGGCTACTATATTTTGTTAACTTCAAAACACAAATCAGTACATCTTGCCAAGGTTTCTGCCTTCTTTTTCAGCTGCACAAGGTAAAAATTAAATGACAACGAAGAAAATCGTGCCTTCTCGAAATGAGTTTGGCCATATTGGGCGGCTTTTTTTAGGGAAAGGGTTGCAACTATCAGGGGCTATTTGTCAACCCCTCGTGCCCCCCTTAAAAGACTCTGGCTGTGCTTCTGGTTATCAAACAATTCCACACATTCCCATTCATATTAGTTCTGGTTCCCATTCATTCTGGTAGCGCTGCTGCTCGACGAAAGAGTTAACTTCGGCGCTCTCTTATGTGCGTTCGGCGTATCAATGTCTCCCGGTGCCACGAGTAGCCACGGCTATCCATGCCCATCTGCCAAACCCAGACGTTTGTTTTCTAACTGGTGAATGTGTCTGTGTATTGACAGGAGTTGTGCTGTTCTCGAGCGCCGTATATTTCGCCGAGGTCAACAATCCGTGCTCGAATTTCGACTCGATTCCGGACGCCTTTTGGTGGGCGGTAGTCACCATGACGACGGTGGGCTACGGCGACATGAGGTGACCCCCCTGACCGGCCTTGTCGTTGTGTTGCAGGTGTGGTTCTGTTCTCGAGCGCTGTTTACTTCGCCGAGGCTGGTTCGGAAAGGTCTTTGTTCAAGTCGATCCCCGATGCGTTCTGGTGGGCCGTGGTAACCATGACAACGGTCGGCTACGGTGATATGACGTACGGAGACTTCACGACTTGGTCCAGTTCTCTTGACCTTGTTCGCTCTAGACTGGCATGCAGTCAAGGACACCGCGCACCGGCCGCGCACTCACACTCGGGTAGCCAGCCCCGTCCCCGGCGAAGCTTACGTGCTCCTTCCTCCGACGACGCTTCGCATGCCTCTTTTGCATGCGGGGAATGTGAGTGGTGCCGGCGGGGCATGCCGTCGCCTTTATGACAGTGAGACTTGGCACGCACGCGGCTAGCATGACGTCCGTCGTGTGACACTGGCATAGCGGCGCACGGGGCCTGACAACGGCTTGTAGGCCGAACTCAGCTGCAGATCTAGATAGCACACCAAAGCAAGTGCAATCGTGCGATCCTTGATAGGCATGGCGCAAAGATTGGGTAACTGAGGCGACGCAGATAAAACCGTGAATTATTCAAGTTACAGCCTTAATACTGCCAATGCGTTTTATTGAAAAGGCACGCAACCCAGGCGAACAGCTGTCTCAGGCCAGCTCCGGAACGGCTTACATATTGGAGTATTTTTGCAACATTCCGACAAGCCGATTTTGAACTCCAGCTCACCAGCCGTGCGCCGGTCACTTTGCCTCAGCGTGCCGCAGGGTTTTGTGGCGACATTGTGCTGCAGCATCAGTGAGCTGAAGTGGTGTTCGTCTCCACCATGGTGAAGGAATGGCTTTACGACAATGCTGCAGCGCAGTCAGGGACAAGATTCTACACCTGTGTTCGAATTAAGACGAATCGATTCATAATTTATGAATTACAACATATTTTGGACGCAAGTGAACCAATTATTTTCTTTGTAGGTTGCATGTTCATCATGAATCGAATCATTGGCTCTCGTTAAAAGTTTGGATCTGAAGCGAACAAAGTCAACGTGAAGACCAAATGAACTGATTCAAGGTTGTGTCCCAAATCAGTACGCAAATTAGCTTCCTGTATGGGTTTGGCGGCTGGAGACGGACATGTTCTATCAAACGCAGCAAACGCATTGCTCATAAAGGAGGTTTATTTGTTCATTTAGGACATCAGCATTCCACAGGCAAAGCCCAATTACGGAAGCAGTCGAATTTTAAAGATAATAGATATACGATGCACACACAAACAAAAAACACACATACACATTACACACAGTCGCAAATCAAGTCATCAAGAGAATGTTCCACGTGTGCCGTTGAACCTACACCCAGTCGCACATCAAGTCATCAAGAGAATGTTCCACGTGTGCCGGCGAACCTAAACAAATCCGAATGTAATGATTTTGTCGGGTGAAAAAGTCAGCTGAGGGAAAATGCTGCAAAAAAAGACTGCAGACAGCGGGTATTCGTGCGACGAATCTATTTTTAACAGTGTTGACCTTTGCAAATGGCTGGTGGAAAAGGCCGATATGCCGAGAACGTCGGACGGGTGTAGCCAGACTGAACAGTGATGTCAGGTGAGCGCAGTCAAGCCTGGGATGATATACGTTGTACAGAAATAAGATGTCAGACTGAGCAAAGCGTGCCGTGATAGATGCTGTTTTGAAGAAAGCGAGAAGGTGCTCATAATCCAGTGGAGGGCACCGGGACAGGCTGCTCGAACTCTACCACATGAGAAAGCGGTGTTGTCTTTTGAGCCGGGCAAGATGGGAAGCAGCAGCAGCGCTCCAACTAACGCTATCGTACTCTATCAATAATATCACATGAGCGTTGAAGGCACAAAGCAAAGCTTTATTATTTAACCGCGCTTGACGAGGGCACGATGGCATTTGCACGCTTCGCATGAGAAGGCCCAGCATCCTGTTTGCTTTTGGGACAGTTGAGTCTATGTGATTGGCAAAGGTGGGTTTGGTGTCCAGCAAGACGCCAAGATCGCGAATCTGATGGCAGCTATCCAAGCGGTGACTGACTAGTACGTATGAGTAGTGAGCAGGTGACGTGCGGAGGGCGAATATGGTGGTAATGCACTTAGCTTGGTTCAGTTTCAGTCCCCAGTTTTTGGACCATTGACAGAGGCGATCCAAACCGCCTGAAGTGTAAGACAATCTGCTACGTTGTCGATTCGGTGATTAATTTTTACACCATCAGCGTACATAAGGCGCTCACACTCAATTTGGTCAGGAACATCAGCCAGAAAGCAGGCGAACAGCAACTGTCCTAGGATGCTGCCTTCCGGGACACCAGATCGCACTGGAATCCAGTCAGACTGCTTGCCGTTCAGCACTACGCGTTGTGAACGATTGCTCAAGTACGACTCCAGCCAGCTGTACACTCGGCCAGTGGTGCAAAAAGAATAGCGAAGCTTGTGTGGCAGGAGAAGGTGATTGACAATGGCGAATGTTGAAGAGTAGTCGGTGTAAATGGCATCTGTTTGTTTACCTTTTGAGATACATGACCAGCAGTGTTCAAGAAAACATGAATGGCTTGTGATGCCAGAGTGCTTTGGAAGGAATACGTGCTGGGATGAGGGAAGGGTGGGCAGACAAACCTTGAATAGGCTTTTACTCACAATTTTCTCCAATATTTTTGAGCAGATAGGAAGCAAAGACACAGGCCTGTAATTACAAGGCAGCTTTTTGAACCCCTTCTTAAGCACCGGGTATCACATTCGCTTGCTTCCACATGGCGAGGAAGAAGCCAGAGTTTAGAGAAAGCTTGTATATGATTTCTAACGGAACAGCTAGCTCCTCGGCACATTCCCTCATAATCCAGGCACTGAGCCTGTCGGCACAGCAGGCCTTGTGTGCACTGGGATCGCGGAACGAGCGTGCTATGTGGTCATCTGGTACGGTAAAGCTGTATAATCCTCGTACACATTGTCATCGCACTCAAGAACGGGAGATATGTTCGTTGATCACTTCAAAGACTTAACAGAGGACCAATAGCGTTTCGGGCTGTCCTTAAAGTCTCGCACTAGACCCAACAAATGCCCGCGATATTTAGTATAAGCTGTCGTCTTGAAGTCGGCTTTAGAAGTGCGGTGCTTAGCAATATTTTCGGCGGTCGCAAGCGCTTTCTTACGTCTGTGAACCATCTCCTTGTCACGCAACAAGTCTCAAACGGACCGGTAACACCACGGATAAAAAATTTCGGAGCTCAACAACAGGCATGAGGTCTGCAGTGGCGGCGAATACAAGATCATAGAACAGGTGGATAGTATCATCAAAACTTAAATCATTTAGAATATGCCAATCAAAAAATCAAATAGAATAATAATCAAAAACAAGGGATAAGCCCGAGAACAGTGTGCAGGCCGTTGAAGTCTGCCTGTTTGTAACTCTAAGCCTTAGATCGTATAAAGTGGGGGGGCCGGTCCACATTTTACAGAAAACTGAGCCGTCACCATACGGTGGTCTGTGTTGAAAATACCTTCGCCGACCTCAGATACAGCAGCTCCATCATAGCAGATGGCGAGGTTCAGGTTTAATTTTCAAAGGCTGTCTTACCATGAAAGGCCTATTTCACCTCGGCACACGTTAGCCCATCTGCGGCCTGACTTATGTGCTACTGACATGTTTACATTTCAGGTCAACTTCACATGCATAGCGACTTCCGCTTGCTACCTTATGACTGTTTCCCAAAACACGTGAGTGGCTGCAGTTCCACAGCAAAATAAGTATTGGCATTACTGTACTGCGTAGCCGCGTCGAGCAAAGGCCAAGGCGCAGGGCATCATCATAGGATGGATTAGCTGGAGGTCCTGCGCTGCTTAATGCCAATGGCACGTTCTATTTGACTTTTCTGAGAATGTTAACAGACGTCCTTTCCTCCGTGCTCTTTTGTTCTTTCTCTTGAAATGCGAAAATGCAAATAAGAAAGCATGTCGCAGTTGTATTAAATTTTATAATTGTAACGAAATTGGAGAAGTGCTCAGTGCATGGTGCATAGTTTAATCCACATGAAATTATATCACTTTCAACACCAAGGCAATTGTGCTTGATTCAGGCCCTGAATTTAGGATATTAAAACCTGCAGATGATTTACTTGAAATGACAAATCCATGAAATCATTTCACGGGATTTGTTTTGCCAAGCTGATGTGTTGAACTGAAAATTTATACAATCATTTCACTGACTTGGTTTTGCCAATCTGCGGTCATCTAACATCTAGCCTAAGTGATTGGGAACTGTTTGCGGATGAAGGATTTATCAAGTAAAACTCATAAAATTGGTATGCAAACATTGGATGTGAGACGAATGAATGCTGAATCGATTCAACACTGATATATCATTATTTGGATCAGAACTGAATCATTGTACTGGGAAGCGAATCGACAAAGAATCGATTCACAAGAGGCAAACTTATGATTTGAATCAGCTTGGTGTTGTTCAGCAAGAATCATGAATAAATGGTGAATCGACTATCACAATTGGAAGCGAACACAGGTTTGCATGCTAACATGCCCGTAGAATTCGAGTTTGATAGAGCTCACTAGATTCGAGCGGTTCAATATCAGTAGCCTTCTTTGTTAAAGAGGTATTCATCTATGTTCTCAGTGGTATGGGGCAGTTCATTGACTGTCGAAATCCGTTTGTGAAGCGCTCAAGACCTGGTAAAGTGGAACAGGGAGGACAAATAAAAAGCAGCAGACAGACAATACAGGGCATGAAAAACGTGTGATTCTACTGGCGTTCCAAATCAATGATCGGACTTTTCCAAGAAAGTAATGGAAGTATGGCTTTGCCACGGACCGCCCGGTAGTACCCGCTGGTTTCGCGCAAGGTGTCAACAAACATGTACGGGGATAATGTTAGAAGTGAAATTTTAGACCAATGATTTCGAGCTGTACATCATAAACAAGGTTTTTAATGCGACGAACACATAGTTTGTAGGAAAAGCATTTTTTG